GTAGATATAGAAAGGGAAGAGAGAAAGGGATGAAAGACATATCTGAAGAGATAAGGGCCAAGAATCTTCCAAAATTAATGAAAGACAACAAAACATAAGCCCAGGGGACACAGAGATCTCAAAAAGGATTTTAGCACAGACAGGAAATATAACATAAAATACAAATAGGCACATTATTTTCAAATGGTTGAAAACAAAAGTTAAAAAAAAAAAAATCTTGAAAGCAGTCAGAGAAAAAAGAAACATGAGAGGGTGGGGGGCAGAGCACACATAAATACAGCAGACTTTTCAATAGAAACTATGGAAGCCAGAAGAAAATGGAACAGCATCTTTAAAATATTAAGAAAACAGGAAGTCAACCTAGAATTCTATACCCACAGAAGAATATCTTTCAAAAACAAGGTATTAGCTTGCATGGGCTGCCATAAGAAAATACCACAGACTGGGTGGCTTAACAACAGAAATTTATTTCTCACAGTTCTGGAGGCTAGATGTCCAAGAGCAAGGTGTTGGCAGGGTTGGCATTTTTTAAGTCCTCTCCTTATCTTACAGATGGTTGTGTTCTTGCTGTGTCCTCACGTCTTTTTTTTTTTTCCTCTGTGAGCACACAGCCCTGGTGTCTCTGTATGTCCCAATCTCCTCTTTTTACAGGGACAGCAATCAGATTGGATTAAGGCCCACCTATCAGCCTCTTCTTAATTACCTTTAAAGGCTCCATCTCCAAATATAGTCACATTCTTGGGGTCAGGGATTCAATAACGTAAACTTTGCAGGGGACACAATTCAGCCCGTAACACCCTGCCTTCTGTACCCCTCAAACTCATGTTCTTCCCCCACACAAAACACATTCACCCCCATCCCAACAGCCCAAGAGTCTTAACCCACTGCAGCATCAACTCTAAATCCCCAATTTCACGTAAATATCATCTAAATCAAGTGTGGGTGAGACTTAAAAAACATGATTCATCCTGAGGCAAAATTTAAATGTGGACCTGCTGAAGCCAGACAAGTTATCTGCTCTAAAATACAATGGTGGGACAGGCATAGGCTAGACATTCCCATTCCAAAAGGGAGACCCTGGAAAGAAGAGAAAGGGATCATGGGTCCAAAACAAGTCCAAAACCTAGCAGGTCAAATTCCATTAGATTTAAAAAATATATATTTATTTATTTATTTGGCTGTGTCGGGTCTTCATTGCGGCAGGCGGGATCTTTTGCTGCAGCGCTCGTCGTGGCTCGCGGGCTTCTCTCGACTTGTGGCGTGCAGGTTTTCTCTTCTCTAGTTGTGGCGCGTGGGCTCCAGAGAGCATGGGCTCTGCAGTTTGCGGCACGGGGTCTCTCTCGTTCAGGTGCGCGAGCTCAGTAGTTGCGGCGCGCGGGCTTAGTTGCCCTGCAGCATGAGGGATCTTAGCTCCCCGACCAGGGATCGAGCCCACGTCCCCTGCATTGGAAGGCATATTCTTTACCACTGGACCACCAGGGAAGTCCCTCATCAGATTTTAAGGCTTGAGAATAAGGCTCTTTGGCTGGATGCTGTCCTCCAGGCCCACTGGGGTGGCAGCTCCAGCCCTCTGGCCCTGGGTGGCAGCCTGGCCTATTGAAATCAAGGAGGAAGAGACAGCCTTGCCCCCTAGACCTGTGTCCTCTAGGCTGGTGAATATCTGTTGTCAACAAGAAACTCACTGTAGCTATAAAGACATCGACAGCTTAAAGGCAAATGTATGAAAAAAGGTTTATCGTGTACTCACAATTCTAAAGAAAGCTGGAATAGTTATGTTAATGTTAGACAAAGCAGACTTCAGAGCATGGAGTATTACCAGCTTTGAAAAGAGATATTACATCACGATAAAAGAGTCAAGTCATCAAGAACATATAACAATCCTTAATGTTGTATGCACTCAATAACAGAGCTTCAAGATACATAAAGCAAAAACCGATAAGGTAAGAAAAATAAACAAACCCGTAAATTTAGTTGGTAAGACAGCCAGCCTCTAAGAGGGCAAAGGAAACAAAACAATTCCGGGAAATCTTCAGATGTAAAGTAATATTTCTGTAGGCCAGGCAGTTGCAGATAACAGGGTCATAACTCAGGATGGAGTCTGAGTGGTTCTCCTGACATCAACAGTCAGATTATCCAAAGCTACTGAATGGCACTGAGGAAACTGTCTTGGGTCACCAAATAAACAATCAGCAAGGTATATACTAATAAGCATTCTTTACATGTACAGTACTGTGCCAGGCACTTTAGAAATACAAGACATGGTTCTGGCAGTGAAGAAACTCATCTAGTTAGGGAATAAGAATCATAACTATGAAATACAAAGTAATAAACTATGCAGAACTCACTAGAATTCACTCACTCATCTGAGTTAGTAAGCAAGTGCCAAGTACCTGACGTGGTGCGAGTTTTAAGATGAAAATGATATGGTTCATGTCCTCAGCTGATAGAAAGCCTAGACTAACGGGAAGACAGATACGAAAACTAGTAAGTACGAGTGTCACAGGTCATACAGAAGCCCTAAGGAGGGAGTGGCACATTGGGCCTGGGGTTTCAGGAAAGAACTCAAATTAAAAGAAATGATGTCTGAGCTGAGTTTAAAAACTCAGATTCCTATTTAGATATTCCCCAGGGAGACACGGCAGGAAAGGGCAGAGCAGGCAGAGGGACCGTTATGAACAAAAGGACACAAATGTGAAAACTGTAAGTCAATTAACAGTTTAAAAGACTGTCAGTTGTTGTATGCTTCAGGGATAGGGTGAGAAGAGGTGTGCATTTAAGAATCAGGCCAAATGAAAGGAGGCCTTGTGTGCTTTGATAAGAAGTACGGACTGTATCCTGCCTGCCTTTCTCCTTCCCTTTCTCTCATTCCTTCAACAAACCTTTACTGAGCAGATACTATTTGCTAGGCATTATTCTTCGTACAGACAACAGTGTTGAAAAAGACAGACAAGGCTCTTGTCCTGTCCTCGTGGGGGTGTGTGACCGAGGGGAGCATGGTGGCAGTGAAACCCATGGGACACACAGAGTTGAGTAACACAGATGTCAGGTGCAGAAGGCTCTATCTCCCCGAAGAAAACACACACACAAAATAAACCAACACGCATATTTAGCGGTGATCTCTACCTAATGTTTCCTGGGCTTCAAAAACTAAAGTCAAACCTTGTTCACAATAGGCAAGTCATTTTGTATTTAACACAGGTCATCTTTCTCGACAGCCTGCACCACTCCCTTAAAATCTTACTTGGAGAGAGGCGGCAGAAAATGGGTTGGTTTCTCCACCAAACTCGAGCTGCTCTGGAGAAGCTGATGGAAGGTGTGGTTAGTTGCTGTGCCCCTTTACAGATGACCGTAGTCACCTGCTCCCCAGGTTTTCCAGGGACGCTGCTGAAGATACAGCTTTATACGCCTCATGCAACAACTTCAGTAGCTGAAGCAGGTTCTCAGCCAAGGGGAAACGGGACAATAGTAACATGATTCATGTATGTGAGCAAAACTGTTTGGATGATAACATGTGGGATGGCGCGCCTTCTACTGAATTCCTGGTTTTTCACTCAAAACTTTCTGGAAAACTCTTAGCTTGAGATTTTCTACCTTGGCCTCACCCTGAGGGTATTTTTTTTTCCCCTTAGAAAGACTGATTACTTCCATTCAGGCATATTTGGAACACAGGACTGAGCCAAAACACTTTTTTTCATTTCAAAGACAAGTTGTTTCACAAAGAAATAATTTAATGTCAGTTAAACTTTGATACATCACTGTTCGTGCTTTAAGATGCCCTGTCTCTCTGCAAAATTTTGAAGTGGAGTTTCTAAAATTAACTGGCTGTGTGCTCTGTTTCCAGCGGGCTTCCAATGTCATGTTAACTTCATGGTTATTAATATCAAAAGGAGCTACTAGAAATTCGATTTAATTCTGTCCTTTAAATTTCTCCCTCTTTTGAGAAGAAAGAAATTAAAATTTCCATGGCAACACGCTAAATTTGAGAGGTCGGCCTTACCTGTTCCATCACACAAATCAGGTGGGTGACAGACAGGCCATTAAATGGGTCTGTTTTTAGGCAATGTCCACACCCGGGAGTCAGTCCCGCCCTGACCCCAGCGTGCAATTCTCGACCCGCGGTCGTCACTGCTCCCTGCAACCTCACACCACAGGATGTGCCCTATTTGACACAGCCTCCGCTCACGTGCTGTGGGTGAACAAATAGGAGGCATTCAGCTGGAAGAGAGTGCACAGCTTCGACACTCTGGTGCAGAGCTTTAGCAGATTGATGGCACAATCACATCTACAAGGGGCTGGGACACCATCAACCCCACCCTGTAGCCAGGAACAAAAGCAGCTTAGGATTACTGTTCTAAAGCTGCTCGACTTCTTTTTTTCTATTTTTATTTCTCAGTGTTTATTCAATTTTTCTTTCTTTTACTTTCCACGTCTGCCCTCACCCCGTTTTCTCCTTGTTTCTTTTATTCATGGTTTTTGTCTCCTTTTAGCCTTCTCATTTTCTCTATTGAACTAAAAAAATCACGACATGGAAAAAGGAGAGCCAATGGATTTTACAGGCAACAGTAAACAGAAAGTGGAGCAGAGGAGGGTAACCTAAACTAATTCATCTAATGGTCCTTTTATTGAAAAACTTAGTAGGTTGTGACCCACAGTTCCCTAGAGACAGCTGACTTGTCAAGGATCCTCATCCAAATATCCCCAACTCAGACTGCCTTTCCGTGGTCACAATCATGAGTGGCCATCAGTTCTGTGAAATAACAGATTCCCCTTAACGCTCTCCCTTCCGAACCAGCCCTTTCTGAATCTTTGGCAAGTTACACTGAGGGAAGAATAAAGTGGGGCTTACTTCAAATGGTAGCTCCTAATATCTACTGAAGAACCAACCACGGTTAAGAATCTTGACTCTGAGCCCTGAATTCTCCAAGGCAGCTTCTATCGCATCACCTAAAGAGCAGCTGAATTTTGTGAGGGTGTCGCCAGAGCTCAGGTGAGAGGCTTACCTGTTCCTGGGTCATCTTCTGCAGCTCATTCTCCCATGCTGCCTGGTCATCGTCCAAGTTATAGGAAGCTGGTGGAGTGAGTCCTTGAAGAATCAGGGGGTCTCGGTCATGGCAGAGGGCTGTCAGGTGTCCAATGTACAACTTTAGTTTGCTTCTGTTTTGGTCAAGTTCTAAGAGGGGCTGGATGATCTGAGGTGAAAAAAAATGAGGAAAGTCAAGGTCAATCTGAAACAAGAAGTTCCAGTCTCTTTATGCCTCCCAAGGCAAAGAAACGGAGCAAGACTAGAGCTCTTGTAATCACCACCGCAGTCTTCGGGACTGTAGAGAGAAGCAGGTCCATACACCTGCACGTGTACACGGTCACACCCACCCACTGTTCTGGGGGCCGCGTGGGGACCGCTGGCATGGACATCAACGCGAGATGCAGTTCTGACTTTGGGCTGGAGATCAGGCGCAGGGTGAGCTTGTTTTTGCAGAGGTGGCATTCCTGATACAGAAAGACTCCAGTTACTTCACAATTGCTCATCCCATCTATTTACAAGGAGGTTACAAAAGACTGCTAGTGATTCACTTTGTTATGAAGCAGAAACTAACACACCATTGTAAAGCAATTATACTCCAATAAAGATGATAAAAAAAAAAAACCCCCAAACTGCTAGTGAAACGTGCTCATCTGAAAGCCTGATGCCACATGCTACGTGTGTTCCTTCACCTCCTGCAATGGAAGGAAGGTTCTGCCTCTGGAGAAAGTGCGTGCCTTTCTCGGCCACGAGATGTGGTGAGTGAACTCATGACTAGATCTGCCTCCTGGCTGGAACTCCCTTGTTCACTGGGCCGGCGCCATCGATCCTCCTTTTAATGGGTGACAGATAAATCCTTACACAACGCCAGACCCCTGAGCCTGAGCCCAGGCCCAGTGTGACGCTGGATCTCTTCTCTTGAGTAGCAGTCCTGCGCTAACTCTGTTTTGCATCCCCTTTACCCTGGATGAATAACTATCACCTCGGCTCCCTCTGAAAGCACATCAAAGGACAGATGACTTCATCGGGCAGCTCTCGGCCCGATGACACTCGGTACTGGCAAGCCTGAGGGGCTGAGGCAGAGCTGGGCCGGCTCTCCAACGCTGAAACGCTGGCACAGCATCTGCCTGACACACAGCAGCTGGGGGAGCCGCCAACCCGCCAGATGCTGGCAGGTCCCAAATGTTCCCGGGTCTCACAGGCAGGGTCTGCACCTGCTGTGTGTCACCGGGCTGGCACTTTACACCAGCAGGACACCTCTGACCCACCTAATGAACAAGGAGCTCACTGATCTTCAAGTCAACAGAAACAAGGCCTGGTATTACTTTCAACAGTGACACTGATTTCTTCCTGGTCTCAGAGGACTCCCCTGCTGCTTTCCTTTTAAGAGTTTCTAAAATAAAGTTTTATGTTTTTTATTGTGAAATCAATGCATATTTTACTCTGAAAAGTATGGGAGAAAATATAAAAGAAATAATAAATAGCCTATAGGTATTCCATCAAGAATACCACTTGCAACATTTTGCTGATTTTCTTCCAAGTCTTTTTATAAACTTACATCAATCAACTTTTAACAGTATCATACCTCACGGTTTGCTTAACACCCTGTTTATCCATTTAGTGTTATAGTGTGAGTACTATTCACATTACGTATTCCTGGAAAACATGATTTTTAATGGTTGCTTTATAAATATATCACATTTCCTCTGTTTCTAATACTATTTCCATAAAATAGTTAAGAGAGGGAATAGCCAGGGTTTAGTGTCTAAAACCATCTTCAACTTACTAGAGAGATCAGAGTTTAGGCCTACGTGGTATAATACAATATAGAAACTGGAGCCTGTCTAGACAAACCAGAGAAAGTGAATACATTCAGCATTATTATTGTTTTTAAAACACACACACACACACACACACACACACACACACACACACACACAATTCTCTAAGGATAAAGGTTACACAATCAGGGGCTGGGGTGGAAGGCTCCGGGCTCTGTAAGGGACCCCTAATCAGCAGGCTCGTGGTACGAGTCCTGTGTTACCCGCGGTACCAACACTGCCAACCACAGAAGGACGAGACTGTTTTGCAGAGGATTTGGAGAGTGGGGAAGTTGGATAGCTTTCCACAAACAACACTAATCTCTCAAAAAAGACTCGTATTTTATTCCTGGCCACAAATGCACATTCACAGTGTAGGAGATTTAGAAAGAGTTCCAAAGCAGAATCTTTAAAGGCAAGCTCAAGGCAACTCCTTTAAATGCATGTTCACCTTTTGCACATCAATATCCCAACTGTCTAGCCACGGCTCTCCTACCACACCCCTCATGCCTCCGCGCACTGCAGCCCTATTTCATTTCCCGTGTTTTTAGCCTGGCCTCCTCCAGCTTCTTTCATGGACACGTTGATTTAAAAAAATCACTTTGGGGATCTTCATTGGATTTGTGCAATTTACTCCCGTTCTTTGTATGTGTGTCTGTGTATAGTTGCCATCACATCTGGGCTGCAAGGCTGAAAGAGCTGGTATCTTAGGTAATTACTGTTTGAGTTGGAAAACTGACATAAAAAAGCACGAGCTCTGAGGAAGGAGACGATGTGATAAATGGTGGTGGTGGAGAGGTCAAATTTTTCACAGTAAAATGGAATCTGGAAAGATACTAGCTCACTGCTGTATGACTGGGAATGAAAAAGTGGACTTTTTAAGGTCCCTGTTCTTAATCAGAGATGAATCTCAAACTGATTTAAATGTATTTCATGCTGAGGTGCTGACAGATTACAAAATATGTAGTGTTTTGCACTCTGAAAGTTTTCAAAGTCCAACTGAAAAGTTAAAAAATGATGGAATCTGAAAAATTTTTCGAGGATAAAAATTCATTCCATGCAATGACCAAGATGCCCTTTCTTCTCATGTCAAAAGGAGTCGCTTTTTTAAAACAAAACAAAAAAACTATAGAGCTTACTCGGTGAAAGTGTATGAAACTGCCCAACCAGCACAGTTCTCAAATCTATCCATCAAGGGAAAAAAAAAAAAAGTCACTGTGGCATCTCTGGGACACACTTAACCATGTCAATCACGTGGGAAATGTCCTTATCTCTTCCTTCTCCCCATCTAACTTGGGCAGGCCACTCAGAAAAGAAACTGCATTTCCCACAAGGTAGAACTGCCACTGCCTAATCTCAAGAGGCAAGAGGGACACTTGCCAAGTAGGAAGAGGATGCCTTACCTGTAAGTAAGGCATAATCCAGAGGTTATGTCTTTTGCCCACACACAACCTCAGTAAATTGGCAAGAAGTCCTACCAAAAGCTGTCAGTAATGCAGTCAGACCACATTAGTCCTACAGCTATGCAGAATTAGAATTACCTATCTTTTTTCTGGCATAAAGAAGTTAAAAAATGAACTTGTCAAGATAACCTCTGCTTTTATCAAATATAATGCCAAAATGGCAATATCCCCCCAATCCTACATTTACCGAGCTGTGAAGGAAAATAACTTAAACTATAAAGGGGAATGAGAGCTTTCTGGTTGACTTAACTGAAAGCTTTGTTTCTTCTTGCGAGGATTTATTTATGTATCAGACCCTCAAATTGGCTTCAGAGGCCAGCATTTGATGACACATGGTGATGGAAGACAGTGACCTCCGGAAGGTGTTTATTTTAACCTCCCTTCCACTTGAGCAGGTCAGATGGCTAGAGATCTTTTGGAAGACAGACCAGCTGCTCCTCTATTGTTCCATACAGATTGCAACTGAAAATTCTACAGCATCCCGTTTCGGCAGCCCATTTATCTAAGACATGGGAACACATGTTCTTGGACCAGGATGGGACGTTCAGTGAAAGGCCCCTCCAGGCAATTCCATGGTCTTCCCCCTTCTCCCCACTCCACTGTTTCTGTACTAGATCTTTGATCTAAGTGTAGGTGGGTTGGTTACGGCACACTCTGGGAGCTCACTCTGAGAGGAAAGGTGTACCCTGAACTGAGTATCACTTGGGACTTAAGGCGTTTGCCCTTGCACTACTAATATTTTATTGTTTGGAAGATGCCACTGTCTTTCAAGCTAACGTTTATTGATCGTTTACTGTGTCCCTGGCAAATTATTTTTAAATTTACTATGGTTCCTCTGTCGCTACAAAATCCTCTTACTCTTCTTTCTATCTGCGGAAGTCCTCAGAGGCAGGTTCAGCTGTCTCTGGATTACTGCGTAAATGCCAGTAGCAGTTCTGACTTCTCACTGGGTCATCACTACACCACTGTCCCCCAGTGGAGGTTCACCAAAGAAGTCCTGGAACAACTAACGTATTAACTTCCCAGAAACATTATTCTTTTAATGACATTCTTGTCCAGAGGCCCCAGCAGAGAGCTAAACTCTGAAAAGTAAAAAAAGGAAGCAAGGGAATAAAATTCAATGGTCTAGCCTCAAAGTCTTTTCTCTCAAGAACTCACTTTACCTTCTTGGCCGCGGTGTGTGTGAGGATGAGGAAGATGAAGGACGGTACTGGGTCTCTCACAACGTTTTGGACCTTTGTGTTGCTTTCTCACTTAAATGCAGCTACTTTGTGCAAGAATGTGGTTCTTTGAACAAAGATAGTAAACTGTCATGATATTTTTGCTACATTAACTAGATATACTGCATATCAAATCACACATATTGACACTAAAAAAATTATGTAATTCACTTAACAAACATTCAGTGAATGCCTTTGTGCCACGCCACAGCCAGCTTTTGCTGGCAGGAATATTAAGAATGAGATGTGGTCCTGTTCTGCATTAAAAAAAAATCATGAAATAATGGAACTAATGTGTTGAGTGTATATAAGAATTAAAATGCGTATATTCAGGATTTATCTTTGTTTTAACTCTAGTTTTGAAGTTTCCTTTAGGCAGACCCTTAAATTGCTAAATCAGCCTCTTTACCTTGATTTGAGGCTCAGTTCGACATAGTCTTCACATCTAAGGCTATAAAATTCAACAACTTGTTTATTCTTAGTGGTCTCGGAGATCCAACCTTTTAATTCAGCCTTCCCATGTGGAGCACAAACAGAAGGATACTCAATGGACCCCCTAAATGTTTTCGGTGTTATGGTCCTTACTCATTTGTAATCCTAGCAAGCTGAAAACAAATATGCCTTCGAGAATACCCCTCTATCTTATACTTCTGCAAGAGAGACGCT